TCTCGTTATTCTTCCATCTTTTTATTCTTTCCTCTCGTTGTTCTTCCATCTTTTTATTCTTTCCTCTCGTTATTCTTCTATCTTTTTATTCCTTCCTCTCGTCATTCTTCCATCTCGCTACTCTTTCATCCCCTTCCTCCCTCTCCTCTCCTTCCTCTCCCATTCTCCCTCCCTCCCCCTCACATGCACACGTACATCCCGTACATCCCGTAGACACGGTTCTGCACACTCGACCGGCGCAGTCGCGAGCTCCGGTACTACAGCGACATGCAGGATGCCCGCGAGGCCGGCGCCTGCCATTCGCCGATGGCCGAGTCGCCGCTGGCGCGGAAGGCTGCCGCCATGGCTGCCGGGGGCGCCGACACCGGGGGCGATGCCCCGCGCGGGGTCCTCCTGCTGGACCACGCAACCGGGGTCACGGCCACCGATGCCTACCGGCGAGACAATGCCTTCCAAGTGTCGATCCGGTCGGGCGCCGGCACTGGCGGCGGCGGCGGCGGCGGCGGCGCCGATGCCGGCGCCGGCAGCTCCGCCACCGGGGAGTCATCCGAGCGGACGTATGTCTTCGCGTGCAAGAACCGCGAGCAGCGGGATCTGTGGATCCGATCGCTGGACCGAATCATCCGCGCCGGGCAGGAGGCCTCCCGCGGGGCAGACCACCTGGGCCACATGCACACCCGGCAGGTGGAGTACAATCGGCTATTGTCGCTGAGCTTTGCCCGGCTCGGGGTGGCCATCGCCTGCATGGTTCGGCGGATGGCCACCCCGCCGGAGCCCGGGCTCACGGTGACCGGCGGTCTGCGCGTGCGATTGCGCTCGGCCGAGGGGCTGGCCCGGCGGGCTGGCGGTGGGGCTTCGCCCGGGCTGGCGGATCTCGGCGGCTCCCCCGGGGCACCGGGCCCGGCCATGCACCAGTCCCCGGTGCAGCAGGTCCCCGCCACTGGGGCCCATTTCTCGGTGGACCTCTTTGTGGATGGGGTGCTGGCGGCCCGGTCGCGGCCGGCCCCGGTCGACCCGCACTCCGACCACACCGGGGTCACTTGGCCGGACGCGGTGCTGGATGTTTCGCTGCATGCGGCTCGGCAGCTGGTATTTGTCCTGCGCGAGCAGCAGCCGGCGGCCGGGACACTGGTCACCCCCGGCACCACCGCCGCCGCCGCCGCCGCCGCCGCCACCGGGCCCGCGGCCTCCATGGTGGATTTGGCATCGCTGTCGCCCTCGACCACGGCCATGTCCCTGGTTGGCGGCGGCCCGGCCAGTCGGCCGACATCGGTGTACTATGCCCCGGCCCCGGCGGCCCATTCCATCCCGCAGGTGGATGCCGCCATCAACCCGAGCACTGACCTGCAGCTGGCTTCGTCATCGGTGCTGCTGGGCGGCGGCGACCACCGGGGCATGGGGCTGCTGCTGGTGGGGTGTCTCCCGGACCCGGGGCAGTCGTCCTTCGGCGGGCCGGTCGAGCACCCGGTGGTGCTGGCTCTCCTCGGGGGCGGGGTCCTGTGTCTGGACATCGGGGTGACGGTCACGCCGGCCGAGCACCATGTCCCCGGTCGCGGGGTGCAGCTCGTCGGCGACACGCTGCCCGGGTTCTCCTTCCGCCCGGCGCCGAGCCCCTTCGCGTCGGCCCTGGCGCCGCCGCCCTCGCCGCTGACGGAGTCGGTGTTTGGCCACCCGCTGGACGCCCGGACCACGGCCGTCATGCGGTGGCTGATTGCCGCCGTGGAGAAGAGCGCCGGCCTGACCGAGGAGGGCATCTACCGTCTGTCCGGGTCCCTGACTCAGGTCCAGGCCTTCCGCGACATGATCGCGCACTCTTGTACGTGTGTTTCTATGCTTGTGTGTTTGTGTGTTTCTATGCTTCTGTGTTTGTGTGTTTCTATGCTT